ATGTTTGAATCTTTGAATCTTCTTTTTTTTTTTTTTTCATCTAAAGACACCCGCCCACGGCCTTTAGCCGAGCGAGTCTTGCTATTCCAGACACAGAGCACCCGAGCACGAGCACGAGCACATTTTCCACAAGCAGCAGCCAGCAGCCAGCAAGCGCGACAAAAAACCATTTCCAACCAGCGTCCGGGTCCGCGTCACCCACCCGGTTCATGACGAGCAAAGTCTCTGTGCTTGCAGAGCGAGCCATGCATCGTAGGCATACCCACCCCACCCCCCAGCAAACGAGAAACACAAAACCCAAGCCCACGGCCTTCAGCCGAGCTTCTGACTCGCGCCGCGCCCCGCAATCATCCACCACACCGCCCCGCACCGCACGTTTTTTTTTTGTTTTTTTGTGTACGTTTACAACAAAGGCCCACGGCCCTTAGCCGAGCCCGAGCTCCGCATGCTACTGCAATGTATCTATCAGCGCCCCACCTGGCTGGCTCCTCCCACTCACTCTATCGTGCGTGCACCACGTCCGTCTGTCCTTCCCCAACATGATCCCCCCGGGAGTAGCCAAAATGGTCTTCTCTTCGCCCCCTACGAAATGTGATTTGCAGAAAGAGAAATTGATTTTGCCGGCCTCGCCCGCGCCTTCGCCTTCGCCTTCGCCCGTGCTCTGCTCTGCTCTGCTTCGCTCGCTCGACTCTATCCTGCCCCTCTCCCAGTCTACAACGAGCACGGAGAGCGCCCCTATGCCTTCTCTTTCCCCCTCTCTTGCTTTCTTTTCCATTTTCTTTCGTTTTGCTCTTAGGAGCTGAGCTGCCTTTTGTGCAACGCTTTTTGGGCCTTTCCGATAAATCGTGCTGCATGGTCCTGCTCCCCACCAAGCGTCGGGAGAGGCGAGCGATAAGGCGAGCGATGTGGGTGGCATGTGTTGGCATGTGGGTGTATTCGTGCGCCCCCCGAGCGAAAGGGAGCAGATAGCAAAAAGCAAAAGCGGCAAGACAAAAACGCAAGGCGAGAGGGCGAGGGCGGGGGCGAGTGCGGCGGGGGTCTCGCAAGATTTTGCCCTTCCTCCTCGCTTTCCCTTTCTTTTTGCCGACTTGCGGAATGCGCGCATGCGTGCCATCCCTGGCTGATGGGCGCCTATTGATGTAG